ATTTTACTGGAACTAAACTAAAATAAATTTGAAATAAATTTTTAAAGTATTTTTTTTATTTTTTCATATGTAAGACATTTTTTTGATAATTTATTAATAATTTTAATAAAAATTTACATTTTTCAACACTTTCATAATAAAAACTTGAACCTTAAATAAACAAGATAATGATACTTTATATATTGCAGGAATTAATAAATTTTAATAGGCAAAAATCTCCAGAAGATTTTTGTTGCTGGCTAAAGCCTTCAGAGTATTTTTTACATTTTTCAAATTTGCTCACGATTTACAAAGTATAGAGTGATTTTCTACAAAAATAATTCTAAGATAAAAAGAAAACTCTTATTCTCAACTACAAAATGATATGTATTTAATTCAGATGGTATCTATATTTACAAAGAAATTCTAATTTAAAGAAAAATATCTATAAAAAAAATTGTACAAAAAAATTTTTAGTATAGATATTTATTTTTAAACTAGAATAACTCTGTGAATATCAATACTATTTGAATGAAACATATATTATTTTGTAGTCAAGTAGTCAAGAACAGGGTCTTTCTTTTTATCTTAGAAATACCTTAGTAAAAAAATCATCTATAGTTTGCAAATAGCAAGCAAATTCGAAAAACATAGAAAAAATCTTAAAATTTTCACTCTTTTTTTACATTTTACAACTTTGCTCATGATTTGCAAAACGTAGAGCAATTTTCTACTAAGGTATTTCTAAGATACAAAAAAATACCTTGTTCTTAGCTTCAAAATTATATAAATTTCATTCAGATAGCATCAATATTTGTGGAGATATTCTAGTTTAAAGTAAAATATCTATAAAAAAATCAAGCAGAAAATATTTTTGCATGATTTTTTCATGGAAGCTTTTTATTAAACTATTTAAAATTTAGATTAAACGTTTTATGCATATTTCAGACTATTCTATTTCACCTTTATATTGGTATTCTAAATTAGATCCATTGGTAAATTATATTTGAAAAGTTTCAAAATTAATTTGTATTCTATTATCTAATATTTCAATTGATGAAATGATTATTCGATTTTCTGATTGAAGTGCACATACAATTAGAATTAAAAATAAACCAACACCAGAAGGATACAAAATACTTTCTCTACATGATACAGAATATACTTACACTTTTATTTTTACATCAAGAATTCAAAATTATCTTGAATTAGAATAACTTTTAAATTTAAATAAAGTTGGTAATAAAGTTAATCATCTTATTTTCCAATTACCTTTAAATAAATTATTTAATATATATATAAATAATTTTTTTTCATCTATTAATCTCTTTCAACATTTATACAACAATAATTTTGAAGCTTGTAAAACAGTTCATATAAATAATACAAATTTTTCAAAAATTCTTAAAGTTAGTAAAAAATTTGATTGGAATACTTTATCTGAAATAGTAATTAATAATGTATTAGCAATTTTATAGATGGATAATAGGCCAGTTATTATGTTAACAACTATTTATGAAATTAGTAAAAATGAAAATAGAATCAAAAGAATACAATATCGTTCTCAAAAAACAAGTACAAATGTAATCAAAGTATATATAATATTTGGAGATACTAGTAAAAAAGCTTTACCAATTCCTTGTATAATTGATGATTACAATTATTTTATGGGTGGAGTGGATATTGCTAATCAGCTATATAGATATTATGGTATCCAATTATCAGTAAGAAGAACCTGGATACTATTATTTTTTTTAGTTATTAGATACTTTAATTATTAACTCTTATTTAATTTTTTAAAAAAAAGTGGAAAAAATATTAATCATAAAGATTTTAGATTACAGTTAGTATGGAATTTAATAAAGTCAAGTATAGAAGAAGATGAATCTTTAAAACAAAATACATGAGGCCATATTAAAAAAATAACACAAAAATTTAAATTAATTTAACAAAAAAATATCAATATATAATAATAAATTTTGAACTTTTACCATTAAGATTAACATTAGATGATTATTTTCCTAAATGGAGAGAGGAAAGAAGTAGTTGTATGTGGTGCAAATATTTAAATAAAAAAGCTCAACAGAAAGTATTAAAAGATTCTCTACAATTACAGTTATATTATATAAAATATAATGAGCATTATGTTATAATAAGAATAGAAGTAGTTGTTTTAAAGACTACCATATTCAAAAAGATGATAATAATTAAAATTGATATTATTTATTTACTTTTTAATAAAAATCATCATAAATATTTACTTGAAATTATTAAATTCAATAATTACAAAATTTTGAAAATTTCTATATGTAAAAGTATTTTAATTCAAATATAATATCATAAATGATGTTAAGTAACCTTAATCTCGAGAACATATTGCATCTACTGTAAAAGTTTCAGATCAATTTCTTGAGAATTGAGTGAATAGTAACTAATTTATTAAAAAAATAAAATTACTAATTACTACTCTAATTTATGTTTTAGAAATCTCAAACTTTTACAGTAGATGCATTACGTTTTTTAGAATAAGGTTACTTAGAATTATTTTGAATAATATATTAACTGCAAAAATACTTTCATATGTAGCTACGATCGACTGACATATTAACTTAATTATTTTTATTTTACTTGATCATAGTTACATATAAAAGTATTTTTATGACTATAAACTATCCAAAACGTTACTAAGTAACCTTTTTTTAGAGAATGTTTTAGATCTACTGTAGAAGTTTGAGATTTTTAAAAAATAAATTGAATGAGTAATTGATAATTTTAAAATAAAATTACTAATTACTTATCCAATTTATTTTTTAAAAATTCCAGACTTTTGCAGTAGATGTACTATGTTCTCCAGAATAAGGTTATTTAGTATCATTTTCGATCATCTGTAAGCAAAAAAATATTTTTATTTGTAACTACAATCGACCAATATGTTAAATTAATTATATTTGATCACAAGAATTTTTTTTTATATCAGTTAATTGTAGCTGTATATAGAAGTATTTTTTTTTTGCTTATAGAATATCAAAAATAATACTAAGTAAACTTATTCTAAAGAACATAATCCATCTACTGTAAAAGTTTGAGATTTTTAAAATACAAATTGGATAAGTAATTAGTGATTTTATTTTAAAATCATCAATTACTTCTCCAATTTATTTTTTCAAAATCTAAAACTTTTACAGTAGATCATAAACATTCTCTAACAAAAGATTATTTAGTAGCATTTTGAATAGTTTATAAGTTGTAAAAATGGTTTTATATGTAGCAAAGATAAACTAATATTTTTTAATAATTTAATTATATTTTTTGCTCTTATTTAAAGTCAGAATACTAGTTTTTAACCTTAAATACGGTAATAATTAAAGATATTCTAAATAAAAAAGTTTATATTTTTTATTAAATTATCCTATAGCTCCAATTGATTGCTAATAAGATGACTAAAATTATAGAATAAATTTTTATAAAATCAGAGTTTTATTGAAAAATAGATAGTTTTCAAATGTAAATTTCATATGACTCTTATATAGCATATTAAATAGAATCACATATATCTGATGATCAATAATTTATAATAAAAATTTCATTACATAAATTTATGTCTCCATCAATTTTCATGTGTAGCATATTAAAGAAAAAATTTGTGAACAAATTTACCTGGAATTATTTATAGTTTAAGGAATAATCTACATTATTGATTTATATAATATGTACTACAATAAATAATAAACAAATAATATATAATATATAATACTAATAATATAATAAATATTTAATCAATAATAATATAAATGTTAAGAATAAAATAATATAATAATAAAATAAAATAATAATATAAAATAGTAATGGAGAAAACCACATGTAACAGTGTCCTTAAAATATATACAATAAAGTTTAATTTTATATTTTATTGTTAAAGTTTTAAAATAATATAAATTTATATAATATTTAATAATTTAAAATTAAATGAATTAAATTTAAAGATAAAATACAGAAGGATTTTTTGCTTTGAGCAAATTTTTCATTTGTTTAAGACTATTGATTTATAAAAATAAAATTAACATTAATTAATAAAATTATAGAATAACAATCTATATGAGATGTAGATACAAGGTTGAACAATTCTATTTATGATACAAATTGGATATCCTATTTATGAAAAACAAAAATTAGAATTTTTATTATAAATCAAAATAAATATAAATTGACTATTTATACTTAATAAAATTGTATTAATTTTTTTTTCCTTTGACAATAGCTTATGACTTAGTTAATAGTGAAAATAAGTTTGGGATTATACAGACCTTTATAATTTTACTAACACCATTTTGAAAATCTATTGGCATTGGAAAACTTAATAAAAAATAATTTTAAAAAAATTTTTATTTGTAAATTTACTATATTTTTTGAATTTGCATTGTTAATTAATATTATATTATACATATTCCCAATTAAACTAAAATAATATAAATATATATTTGATGTTATGAAACTTTATGTGAATATTTTAATAATTAAGATATATTCTTTTGCATTATTCCAGTCTATTTTTGAATAGAGATTTCTTTGATCTGATTATTATCTCAAGTAAAAATAGTACTCATAATTATAAGTTACAGATTATGTACTTACTTCCTGTATTGCAATTCAAAAATTTGGAATTATCCAAATTATCCACAAGTTAATCATTCTACAATTATGTATTATTTCAATATCAAATAAAAGATGTTAATATCTAATTTAATTAATCTAAATTTAAATAATACTTTAAATAAATCAACCAGCATCTATTCATTTTAAAAAAAACAATTACCAAAATAATCACCTTGATAAGTTTAATATACAAAAATCATTTCTCTCTAAGTTAAATCTATCGATTCAATTGAGATCATTCTGAAGAGAAAAACTGGAGATTCTGTAAAATTTTTTTGCGGAATTGCACAAATTGATAAACTGGGAACATTTCCAAAGATCACGGGATTAACAACCTTTATCTAAATAAAATTTCAACTAAAAGAATCATGGAAGATGACATTTATGAAGATTATCAACGTTATGAAGACGAAATATATAAAGAACAAAATTCATCTTCAGATAGGTAAAGCAAATAATATTTCTTTAATTTTTATATTTTCTTTAAATTTTTTTATTAAGTTATTAAATTTAAAGTTTAAATTTAGCGAAGAAGATTTTATCAAGGATCCATCAATCATCTATAGTCAAATATTCTATACAAGTGAAAAGCCAAAGTTTATTATTGAAGGGAGTACTACAGAAAATCAAAAAAAAGATTCTAGTAAACTGACGATAACGAATGAAGAACTTGATATAAAAGAGGAGGGAAAGAGAAAAGAAGAAGAAAAAATTAAACTCAATAATGATAATGAAAAAAAGAAAATCGAATATATATTAATATCATCTGATAGTGAAGAAGAAGTTAAGGCAAAGTCTTCTATTAATACCAAAACTAATGGATCGTTCAAAGAAGAGTCCAAATACTTTATTTCACGAAGGAAATCAATTTCAGTAGATTCAATAAACAAAGTATTTGTTGTTGATCAAAAATATTCTTCTGATGAAATAGAGTCAGGAGAGATATTAGAGGAAGAAAAAGTTTCGAAAGATAAATCTAAAATTGAAAATAAAAGCATATCATCACCACCATTACCTGTATTATCTAAACCTATTTCTATGAATAATAATTTGAAAATGGTAACAACTCCATTAGAAACACATATAATTAGTCCTATTGATTTTAAAACATTTGATACGTCGCCCTCACTAAAACTTATGACTGACGATGAATTGTCTGAATCTTCATCGAGCCAAGAAACATCTTCAAAACTTTCCAATAGATTCTCTAGGGTTTGTTGTTTAATATTGATTTTGATTTTTTAATTTATTTAATTTAATTTATTTTTTGAATTCATGAAGAATTTTTTTCTTTATAAATAAGGAATCAAAATATAAACAAAATACGTGTCAGAATTGTGGTTCTCGTGCTCACGAAGAAAGTGTTTGTTCTAGTATTAAGTATCCAGATAATGATCAAGTACGTTTATATTTAATTTCCTTTATTTTTTTTTTAATGAATTAATTCCAAGCAATAGTAATATTTAAATAATTAATAAATTTTAGAATACATGGAGGAAATATAAATTAAGAAGTCCTCCTAGAAATGTACGTATTACTCGAAAAAGTTGCTTTAGATGTGCCAGTAGAGAACATTTTGGATGGGTATGTCAAAAAAAAAAAAAACTTTTTTTTTATAACAATCGTAAATTGTTTGTTTATATAATTATAAATATTAACAAACAAAAATAATTTCATATTATAAAACTGTAGGATTGTAGAGATTACAAAAGATCAGTACAAACAAATACATTAAAGTGATATCACGTTAAGGTCACATTATTAATAATATGTTAATAATATTTATTTCTTTATAAATTTTATATACGAGGGGATAACAACTGCTGCTGATTAATGAATTTCAATACACTTTTACAAATAATTCTTATTGTATCTTTATTTTTATTCAAATCTATAAAAAGCATCTGTTTTCCTTTTTTTTTTCTTTATAAATCTTAGAATTTTTTGAATGTATTTTTTTTATTTTATTTTTGAATCATAATCGAGAATTCGTCATTGTCGTATAGAAATTTAAAAATAAGCATTATCATCACCATAATTGCAATAACATTTTTCAAGGTAAACAAATAAAGTTTAATTCTTCCTTTTAGGTCACAAGGAAGGGAGACGTAATATCTTCTTTTTGTGGCCCATCTCAAATGTTCTAAAAACTTTGATAATTAGTCAGCTGACAATCAGATTTGTCATATTTTGTCATACAATAAATAAAATGAAAATTCAAAAAAAAAAAAAGTGGAAAATGTCATTCATCACTTTAAATCGTATTCTTAATCTAAAATCAATTCTAAATTCTTCTTCAGAAGTCAGCAATAGAAATGGTAATCATTTAACAAATTCAATTATGACATCAAACATCGAAAAAGCCACTCTTGCTGCTGGATGTTTTTGGTAGATTTTTATTCTTTTTTTATTCCTTGAATTTTTTCTGTTTTTTTAGTAATTTATTTCAAAAAAAAAAATTGTAAGGGGAGTAGAACATATGTTTCAAAAACATTTTAAACAATTTGATATAAATACAAAAGTTGGATATATTGGCGGCAAAACCAACAATCCAACATATAAAGAAGTAAATATAAATTCCTATTTCTTAATAAATAATAATTTATTAATTTATTTATTTTTAATAATAATTTATTAATTTATTTATTTTTAATTAATTTATTAAAATAGGTGTGTTCAGGAAAAACAGAACATGCGGAAGCTTTACAAATACAATTTGATCCCAACAAAGTATCATATGAAACATTAATAGAATTCTTTTACAAAATTCATGATCCCACTACTTCTAATCAACAAGGACCAGATAAAGGATCCCAATATCGATCCGCAATATTTTATCATTCATCTCAACAAAAAGAAATTGCTGAAAAGGTGACACAAAGAGTTAAGGAAAAATTAAAAAATGAACATGGATTATACTCAGGATCAAAAATAGTTACTGAAATTATTCAAGCTGGTGAATGGTATGATGCTGAAGATTATCATCAAAAATATTTGGTAATTTTTTTTTTTAATTGTTAATTATAATAATTATTTATTTATTGATTGTCATATTAATAATTAATATTTATTTATATATTAAACAGAACAAGAATCCTTTTGGATATGAAGTAAGTAGTATTTTTTTTTTTTTTGAATAATTTCTCATATAATATATAAATATAAATGAAAAATAAAAATAAATGAATATTTTCTATTTATTTTTAATGTACAGTGTCCTACTCATTTTGTTAGATGGTGAAATAATTTAATTATTACAGATCCAATAATTTGTAAATTTATATATTTTATTATTATTATTATTATTATTATTTAAAATAAGTTAAAATAAGCTAGTCAATCTATTATCTTTCTTAACTATTTCAATCATCTTTTTTGCCATCTCAAAATCAGTTTTTGCACTTTCAATATCTAACCAAAATCTCCTCTGTTTGGGTAAATTAATTCCTGCTATTATACAATTTTTTAAATAATCTTTCTTTACTTTCCAAGTAAGAGCTCTTTTACCAATTGTTGGGATCAAATCTTTTAATTGTAAAGTAGTGAATCTAGGTTTGGCAAAAAGTGAATGAGTTTCCATGGTGATTTTTGTATAAGGATTAATGGAAGTGGAAGTTAATTTTTTAGAAATTGGAAGTGGTGGATGAAGGTAAAGTTTTGTTACATATGAAGAAAAAAAGTAATGTATACAAGCTGTTGTAGTTGTACTTCCCAAAAGAGCTTTTTTTTAAAATATATATATATATATATTTATACATAAAATAAGATTTTTTTAAATTTAAAAGTCAATTAAAAATGAATTTTATTATAATAAAATTTATATGAGAAGCAAAGTACTTGCCTAATGTCAAGATGGTTGAATTTACACCAGCTTCCTGAACTATTAATATTTTAAATGTTAATAAATAAATAAATAAATAAATAAATAGGAGATTATATATATATTAAAATTTGGAATTAAGCATTTTTTTTTGAAAATCTTACGAGACGGTTCATTCAAATTCAACATTGCTATGGGAGAGATAATCATCGCGAACTATTTATTATTAAATCAATTAATTAATTGATTGATTTAATTTAATCAAAAATTTAATTATATACATTAAGCTTATTTAAAATTAAATTAATCATATGATATATAAAAGATAATTGAATAGTAAATAATAATTTTTAATAAACAAACCCCGAGAGCAGAAACGGAAACAAATTTTAGAAGTCTAACGACTCTATAATTTGGACCTTCAAAAACTAATTGAGCATCTGATAAGTCTGGTGTTTTATTTAATTTATTTAATTTATTTAATTTATTTAATTTATTTGGAAAAGGTTTTTCTTCAATAACTGCAGTTTGAAAAGTAGTGGCATTTGGTGTAGTTGGTGGTGTTGTAGAATATAAAAAAAATTGTAGTGGAATTCTATTTACATTATTACTATAATATGATGAATTGTGATTACGGAATAATGATAATGATATTGAAGTTAAAGTGGATATTTGATTATTTGGAAAGGAACGCATATTGAAAGAAAAAAAAAAAAAGATTAAAAAAAAATATTTGTTTATCAACCAATAAAAATTTATTAATTTATCATCACGCAGATCATTTAAAAAAACTTTAAAAATTCGGTTCGTTCAGTTTTATTCATTACTCTTTACCTTTCTATACTTCACACAAGGTAAAATTTGTCACAATATTTTTTTTTTCTTTAAAAAACTAAAATATTTTTCTCTACAAGATAAAATTTTAAAGTTTTTTTTTTTTTTTGTCTTTATAAATTTATAAGGTATGTTTATTCTTTGTCTAACTTCTAAGGAATGGTAAAAAAGGTAAGCTAAAAAGTATCAGGTAAGTTGATTTCAAAATATTTTGAATGTGTTTAGGTAAATAAAAAGAAGTGAGCTTAAACTTTGTGTTATGTAGATAAAGTAATTATTTTGATTTTCCCTTACTACTTCAATTTTTCATAATGTTTTAAGTGTGTTGTGTTAAGGTAAGTAAAAGAAGTGAGTTTAAAAGTTTATGTTATGTAGATAAAGTAATTTTTACACTATTCCAATTTCCATAATTTATAAATATTAACATTAAAATCATATTTAGCAAATTCACAAGTCCACAGTTTATTAATATTCAAATTCAAATTAATTATAATTAATTGTAAATAATTAATCTATGCAAATATTTAATTAAATTTACAAATCAAAAAAAAACATTAAAATAAAAAAAAAAAAAAACTTTGGGAGACAGAATAACTTATTTTAATAAATAATTGTAATTATTTATTATATTATTTAACCAAACTAATAAAGTAAGAATATTTCAATTTTGAAAATAAAATCAAAAAAATTATTTACTTAAATAATTATAATATTAAAATAATTTCAGATATAAAATAATTTGATTTTTTTAATAGTAATTAAATAATTAATAATTAATTAAATAATTTATTGATAATAGAACAATAAATTACAAAAAGAACTTGATAGAAGATACAAAATTAGAAAGATAAATAGGGGGATAATTAAGAAGATAATTAATTAGAAGAATAATTAGAATAGAGGGAATAAAAAATATTTTTGATATAAAGTTTTCTCAGATCTCAAATTATTTATTACTATGTATTATTAATCAAATCATGATAAATCCAAAGTTCTTATTGAGTTTGTAATTTTAGGATTGATTACCAAAATATTATTCATTGTTGTATATTTAGTATTTTTATTTTGTGTGTGAGTGAGTGCAGCAATTTTTTTTATTTTATGTATTATTCAAAATTACGTGCCTTCGAAATTTCCCCCTGAAATTTATTAAAAATTGTCAACTTTGTTTAATTTTTTTATCACCTGCAGTTTATGCAAGCTGTTCCATATAAGATAAAAAAGACATGTCAACAAATGTCATGAGAAAGATGTATTGACATTTCATTTTTTTTTTTTTTCGTTTTTTTTTATTGCCTAGGAATGGAAATAATCATAATCAATAATCTCTGGTGTTGCGGAATGGTTCAAAAGTGTCTCTTGTGTGAATTAATAATACATAATGATTAATTCACACGTTTTACGATAGTAAACTTGCATGTCTATGTGTACCTAAAAAAACTCTTTAACAACACACATGATACATACAACGGACACCAGCACACAAAGTTTGAGCTAATTAGATCGTACATATATATTTTGAATATTAGTACTTTACTTGAACAAAATCTTTGATTCTTTGTAAAAAAAAAAAAAAAAAAAAAAGATTTTACTTTATCTATCATTCTATTATTTTCATCATTTTCCATCATTTTTTTTTTTTTTTTCATTATTTTCATTGATTTAAAAAACAATATCCTTAATTGGTTAGAAAAATACAAATTAGCTAAGATCAAGATAACAACAGACAAAAAAAAAATGATGGACCAAAATGAATAAAATGTGTAAATTGTTTGTTACATGAGAAACAAAAAAAAGTATCAAGTAAGCCCGGTTGCTTTTTTTTACCCCACACATATAATACACATTTTTATTATCAACTATTATACTATTATCATCATACCACTATTATACTATCATCATACCCACTATCACTTTACAATATTTTACTAAAATTAAACTATATTTTATGCTTAAATAACAATATTATGCTACGGTATATTATACTTACTATCATATTTAATAAGAATAATAAAAGTATTAATAAAGTATTAATAGAAACAGTAATATTAATAGAATCATTAATAATAGAGAAGTATTAACTTTTGATATCATATATCAATAAGAGAATACATGTGATATAATAGAGTGTGCATACAAAAGACATAGATGTCAATCTTTAATAGACTTAATGAATCTTAGATCTTTATCTTAGTGTCTCAGTTATAACCTTTATTTTTATTTTATCACCTACCTTTATTCCTTCATTTTATTTAGGAAAATTCAATATTTCATTTAATCGTAGAAAAAAATCGTGGCATTATGGATAAATTCAGATATCATTCTCAATATTATAATTTAATATATTTAGTAATTTTTAATATCAGTTTACTATATTTGTTATTATTAACAGTATTTTCAGTTTTGTGATATTAAATAGGTTAAAAATAGTTATAATGATTACTTTGTTATGCACTTTATTCATACGTTTTAATTGTACATTGTATTTTATACATTGTATTTTTATATATTGTATTTATAAATTTTTATTTACGTTCATTTATTGAAACATTTTGTAACATTTTATTGTGCCATCTTTATTGTAACATTTTATAAAAGTTTTTATTTTGAAACGTTTTATTGGAAGTTTTATTAAATGTTTCATTGTTAATGGATGAATATTATTGATTTATTTATTTATTTATTGATTATTTATCATTATTTATCAGTCAAATTATTCTAGGTAATGTGGGTACACTGGATACTGGTAAGTCGGGTCTTGGGTATATTACATGTATCTTATTACTGGATGAAACAATAAATAACAGATGAGACAAAATGGATAACAGAATGTATAGAATGAAAAAAAAAAGTAGACAAGCGAAAACAGGAAGAATGGACAAATGAGACAAATGGAACGGGTAACAGAATGAATAAAAAAATAGTTGTCAGAATAGATATCAGAAATAGATATTAGAATAGAAATGTGAGTAGGTGATAACACAAATGGACAAATAGGAACAAAAATTCATCAAATAATAAAATTCATAAGAATTATGTAATATTATTTTCATACAATTAAAATACAATTATATATTCAATTAAGAATTATGTAATACTCATTTTTTTATTATGTAATTTTTCTTTATTAGGAATTGGATCGAAATTTGAACTGAGATAAGATCAAAAAAAAATAATAATTAAGATGAAGCAAAGATATGAATCTAGACAGTGATAATTGATAAAACGAGATATACAAGTATTTTTATATATAACGAAGATCAAGGAGAAAATGTAATAATATTAAAAACATTAGAATTTTACCAAATAAATAAATCTCATTAAGTCGTCATATCATTGTTTCTAAACTTTATTTTTATTATCGTATTCTATTTAACACTATTTAACACTATTTTTCACTATTTTTATATATTTTAACTATTTTAATAATTTATATATCATATAATAATATCATTTGATTTAATGATTATTTGTTAATTACCTATTTATAGTTTATTTATTTTCTATTTATATTCTAATTGTTATAATTTTTAATTACTCGATTTGTTATATTTTTTGTTATACTCTATTTTTTATCAACCATATTTATCATTAATCATTACTTCAATTAAATTATATCAATTAAGTTATTTCCATAATTATTATAATTATTTTAATTATTTTAATTATTTTAATTATTTCATATGATCAATCATATTATCCTCCACCAAAGCTAAAAAATCAAATTCATTTTTCTAAAAATATTTTTTTTCTCATCAATTCATACAATAAACGGTATATTATGTAAATATTACAATTATAATTGTTTTATTCTAATTCTTTATAATTTTTAATTTAACCAATATAGTACACAATTATAATAATTTTAATAATAAAGATGATTATGATAAAATAATAAAGATGACGATAGTAGTGATAATTATGATGTTAATAATGAATAAATAATAATGAATAAATATGATTGTTATTGTTATATGCAACAAGAACAAACGAAGCGATACCAACAACAAAAGGAAATGCAAATTTGATATTAAAAAAACCTCATGTCAGACGGCGACGACGCGGAGAAACTACTGAGCTTACATTAAAGTACTTGCTGTTTATAGTAATCTAGTCATCTGATGTAAAAATATCATATCAATCAATCTAAAATAATAAAAAAAAAAAATAATTAAAATAATAATAATAAGTTCGTTTACACTTTGAAAAGATCATCATATGAAAAAGCCAAAAACGATTTTTTTTCATGTGCATCAAAACGTTTTATTTGATCATCACTCTACTGATTATTTATGTATTAAAAATTGTTTTCTTGTATTTTCTTGGAATTAAAAGAGATAATATATTAGATAAGAAATAACGAATTATGATAAAAAATAATGAATAATATTAATGAATAATGTCTAATAATAAAAAGGAAGAATAAAAACGACTTGACTTAACGAGAGAAGGAAGGAAAGAAGAATGGGAAATTTATGTGGGGGTATTATATGTTATTTATTTTATTTTTTTATTACTGGCAAGAAAAAAAAAATTAAAAAATTATAGAATTTCTTTAATTCTCTTATCTCTTTCTTATCTTCTCTGTTATTTATTTTGCAGCCGCTATTTGATGCAAAACATCATGCACTAACTTTTTTTTCTTTTTATAAATTCCAATCGGAGATTATTATTATTATTAATAATAATTATTATTATTGTTATTTATATTATATTATATTATATTATATTATTATTATTATTATTACTGTTATTTTATTGTATAATTATTCTCTTTTTCTTATAATTCTTATAATTATAATTCTTTTATTATCTTTTCTCTCTATTTTTCTCGATTTCTAAATATCTTAATGTCATAACGATGATGAATTTCTTATACACAATAAAGTATAATTAAAGTATTTTAGAAATTATTGTGATTTCAGTGATTAGAGTAATTGATTATTTTTGGTTATTAAAATAAAAGATCAAATATACTAAATATAATTTTTATTTTAACTTATAAAAATTTTTTTATTTATGTTATTTATTTTAGAATTTTTATTTATTTATTTTTGTTTTATTTATTCATTTATTTATTTTTATTCAATTTATAATGAGTCGTATGACTGATACTGATATTTGACATATATATATATTACTCAGTTTTTGCTCTCGTTTTTTTTTTAACTTTATAAATAATCATTTACATTTTATTTTATTTTAAATTATTTTAAATTATCGCGTATTTCAGCGGAAAATTTTTCAGTTTGATTCACATCTTTCTTTGTCAGTTATTTATATCACTTTTGTTATATTTCTTTTCTTTTTCTTTTTTTTTTTTTTTTTCTTTATCAGTCATTATATATCACCTTTTTATTACTTCATTCTTTTTTGTTCTTCAAAAAAAGTCTCATAAATTAAAAATAAAATAAAAGTAAAAATAATCTTGTGTAAAATAAAATAAGAATAAATCTATAATTGTCCATCCTAAACGTATTTAAACCCTTACAATGGAATATTAATATTTTTGCTTTACGAAGGCAAGTGAGTGCTTGATCATGAAAAAAAAATAAGTTAGTAGTAATAGTAAATAAATAAAATAAATAAATAAAACCAATCTGCTCCTCTTCTCTTTACATTATTTTTTATTATTCTGTTCTCGTCAAATTTCATACTATTACTTTTACATTTATCATATCTTTTTCGCTTATACAAATATATATATATATATATATATATCCATATAAATATAGACATATCCGTATATATATACACAAATATATTTTATTTCTTTAATATCATTCGCTTGTTTTTCCTCATGAAAAAATAACAAATAAATCAGATCAATTTACTTGTTTTCTCATTTTATTCGATTAATTTATTTGTTTTATTATTCAAGTTAATCAATAATTATTCTTTATTCTATTATTTCATTATTCTATTATTCTATTATTCTATTATTCAATTATTTTATTATTATTATTATTATTACTTTTACTACTTATTATTTTATTTTATTCTTTAAATTAATGTATACACATTGTTAAATTCACTTTATAATTTCTTCCGCTTCATCTTCCTTTTTCATCATCTTCTAACAAAATTTTCAACATTCTTCTTCCTATTCTAAAAACATTTTATCATTTTATCGTACGCCATTACTTTTACTATTACGATTATTATTATTGCTTTTTGTAAAATTTCAATCTCGTACATTTTGCACATTTTGCACATTTTGCACATTTTGCACATTTGCGCATTTCTACATTTTACATTTTTTACGTTCCTAACAAATTATTATCTTCCTCATCTCTTTTTTTTTCGGAATCGCTAAATCAAATCCACTAGTGTGTTTCTTTTTATAACTGATAAATAACCCGCTGAATCAAAAGCCATAAAATTTCTCGGACTCGAAAAAGAAAAAATGTCTTGTAGTGTAATACGAAACGGTAACAGAGATAACGTTTTGGGTGGTAAAGATGCCCTAATGTGTAAGTACTAAATATATTTAAAAATTTATATGTTTAAATTTATACAATATCTTTTTTCCCCATTATTTTTATATAAAACATTTTGAACCAATCATTATGTACTATTTTATTATATAATATATCAATAAATAAAATATACTAACCTTTTTTTTTCACTCTTCCATTATCTATCCATATATATCCATATATATAGCCTTTACCGCCGGATCATGTGACTCTGTTTTACAATGTTCACGTCGATCGTTAAAGAACGCAGCTTTACCAAATCTTCTTCATTTTATCAAAGACATTACTACTAAATCTCGAGTATCAAAAATGACCATGTTAGTAGGGTTAATATATGTTCATAGATTAAAGAAAACTTTACCACCTCAAGCTCGAGGTGATTTTGATACTCCTTATAAAATATTTTTATCCACAATTTTGGTGGCTTCGAAATATTTAAGCGATCATTCATTACAAAATAAAACTATCGCCGACATTACTAATGGTCTATATACCGTAAAAGATGTAAACACAATGGAAAGAAGTTTTTTGGGATTATTAAAATATGATCTTTGGGTCGATTATGACGAAGTGAAAAGTTTTGAGGCGGAACATCGAGAAGATTTGGAATTAGATTTCCATTTCGAGGATAATAATGATGAGAACATTTTTCCTGGAAACGAGGAATTTTAAAAATATATAAATTATCGCGTTTTTCACGCTTCGCAATAATGATTTTCCTTCATTTTCCCTCCCGTTTTGGTTTATTTACGATTGCGCTATAGTACACATTATTCTTTACGATTGTGCTATATATTTTTTGTATACATTACGTATATACTGTATATCTTTGATATATACACAGTTAATATTATTTTCTTGTTAACTATCATTCAACTTATTTTTTTCGACATTTAATTTATTTTCCTTGTTAATTATAATTAGAATATTCGTAACATAAATTCGTTCCTTTTTTTTGTTTCTTTCAAACTTTTTTTTTTTTTTGAAACAGATATATGTAAAGTATTTAATATTTAGTTTCTTCCATTTCCTTCATTTCTTGAAAAGAAAATTATTCAATTAATTTTTTTTTTTTAACACATTCGTACTTTATCTTTCATTATACAATATATTTTTTGACTCTTTTATAATTTTCCTTTTTCAAAAGAAAAACAAATATATCACCGTGCATGTATAGATTTCCTTTTAAAATAGATTTGAGATTTATTTCTCTCTTTTCATGTGACAATAATATATACTGTATACACACAGACACTAATCCACTCCCCCTCCCCCAATAACACACAACGCATTTATATAGACTTTAATATATTAGAGACTGGTATATCTTCTTCATCAAATATATAGATTTTTTAATTAAACGCTTTTTGTTTTATGTAAATGAAAAATTTCAGCGATTTTCCCCTTTTTGTATATATAATTTATATACTTTGAATAATAATAATAATAGACTTTTATTATATACACACATTACACACATACATATAATATATATATATGTATGACTTTTCATCAATAATCAAGACTTTTTGGTTGGGTTTATTTTTTTCCCACCAAAAAAAAAAAAATTAAAAGTATTAACATAATTATTATTACTATTTTTAATTACCATTTACTTATATAATTTGCTTGCAAATATTCATCCACCTTTTTTTTTCCAATCCATTATGTATATTTTATTTTATTTCTTCTTTTACGACTTTTTTTTTGAAAAAAAAAAAAATAATATCAAAAAAAAAATTTTATAGATTAATTTTTTTAAAAAAATAAGATTTCCCAAGTATGTATATATATATATATATATATACGCACGATTAATTACTTTTATCTTTTTTGTAAAGAAAGGTTTTTTTTTGTAATATAATATATATATGATTTTGGTTTCTTAATAATTCATTTAATATATAATTTTTACATTAAAAAATAATAATAAAATAAGCATATAAAAAAATAAAAAATTGTTATAACCAAGAAAAAAAAATGTTTATAAAAATCTTTTTCTTCTAATATTGTGTATTTTGTGTTATGTATTATGCACGTGGCTGTTTATCTTTAATATTATTTATTAAATTATATATCGCGTTTTATATCATGTCACGTTATATATATCGCATGTGATTACTTTTATTCTTCGATGACATGAGAAATTTCATGCTTTTGCATTCATCATAATGTATGCGAGTTTATGTATAATGGATTTTGCTAAAATTTTAATAGTATAATTAAAACTGTTAATATAATTTAATTAATTAATTATAATAAAGTAATTAATTTAAACTTTAATGATTTTAATGTTTGCATGGTTTATGCTGATCACAGAATATGTTATTTTTTTTCACAAAAGGAAAAATGAATTCTATTAATAAAAATGGTTGTTAGAATTAATCTTGTCATGTAGTGTTTTTGCTAAATTATATAAATTCGGTAAATATACATATTTAATATATAATATGTTTATTTTTTGTTTATAACAGAAAATTCTCTCGATTTAATTCAGTTAATACTTAATTTATAATTTATATAATTTATATACTTTTATATACTTTATACACTTTATACACTATATATATATTTATGCTTAAACTTTAAAAAACGTGGTTTTTTACTTATTTTAACTCATTTTTAACTCGGTTTCAACTCGGGGGTTTTTTTTAATAAATAAATAAAAATAATATATATATATATATGCACGATCTGACTGTTTCAAAAAAAAAAATGCATACAGTAGAATGCGCTTATTTTCTTTCAATATATATTATCCTTTTAAATGATATACTAATGATGTACTCAAATTCAATTACATTAATTTAATTAATTAATTTATAAAACCATTTTCAAAATTTTCGGATCAGCATGTTTCCATTGTCTTGATCTTGTGATGTCTACTAGAAACAAGTATCAGTGCCTAGTCAAAAAGATTAAAGGCGAAAAGCAAGTAAATATCATGAAAGCATTAAATATACTCAATCTATTCTGCTTTCATGTTTTTATATCATTCACATAATTGTCTTGCCATTTGTGAAAAATATTCAACAAATGGAAATGCGACTCCAATACAATTTGTTTAAAGTATGACAATCTGTTATGGTTGAGGACGCTCTATATAACCAATAACTCAATGTAGAACTTCAGCAACTAAACACCTGCCAAGTGACATTTATTCTGGCTTGGATGATTATGAAGAAGGCTGGAAATATAGAACGTCCTTTTTCTCTTTTAGAATTATTTTATAGATTTTCCAAACTAAGGACCATCCGAGAATTTTACCATAATCTTTTTCACACACGAGCTTAAAATGTCTCAGATCGTCAGCATGTATTTAAAGAAAAATGAGTTAACTTTTTAATGAAAGAGTTAAAAGTAATTATTTTATTATTTAGATGATAAATCTTCAAAATTGAAATTTACTGTTCATTCAAGGAGAGTGATATGCCTCCTTGTCGAAATAAAAAGAAATTGGCATTGGTTTCTATGATCTCACTGTGATTGCAGAAGAATAAAGAAATAACAAATGAGTGTATTGAAATTGGAAAAGCTCAAAAATTGCTATATGTCAGCAATGAGGAAGTATATAAATTTTTACATTGTGATGGAAATGAAAGATTATATAAGAGATTGTATATTGTCTCCGCGATCTCGAAGTCACGGATTTTGGCGGGAGGAATGTGTACCTTTCATGAATCATAAAATTTTTTCTGGCCACCAGGAGTTGAAGATAGGAATAAGTTGAGTCGGAAAGCAATTCAAGTTGTGTATTGTTGTATGAGCTATTTTTTACTTTGTGATTTTGTCATTAAATCATGTACTTATCATTATAAGCAATAGAGATCGATATAAATGTATTTTTCAAATCTTGAATTTTTTAATCAATTTTACGCACTTATTCATTTTCGAAAAAATAAACCACAACGATTTTCGAGCAAATTCAAATATCTCTACAATAAAAAAAAATTTATAAATGATATTTGATTTTTTTTTACTTATTTGCTACCTAAAATACCAAAAAAAAAAAAAAATCTTTTCTAGTCTCATTTCACGTAAAAGTTTATTACCCTTCGTTCTTCGCGGGGGTTTTTCGAATTACATCGCTTTTCCGATTAGCTGTCTATTTCTCACCTATTTACATTTTACCTTCTCCATTCAGATGTTACAAAAAGTGTCATGATAGCCAAGCCCTAAATTAAGCTCTCTTCCCTAAGTTTTAGGACGAAATCATTCCTGCAGTTGAAAATTTCCCATATCATCAATTTTTAAATGTAAATCTTCCTGACATTAATATGTATGATGCAAAGGATTGGTCTCGATGTAGGTACAGTAACACATTGATAAATTAACTGATAATTTGCGTAACAAGGACCGATTTTCTACTAAGATGTTTCTAATACCATTCCATTCAAAGGCCTCATTTCAGGCTTTATTATGGTCATAGAATTGTTACCATCCGAAGCCATAAGGCTTTGCAAACTTACTATCGGGCCCGGATTTTGGGGCTCGAGCCAAGCCTTGAGAGGCTCGGCCAGGCCGTAATGCCAACGTGACTCTACCAAAACATAAGGCCAGTAATTCTTTGCCATCAAGCTATGCATTTTTTATTTACATGATCTATTCTACTTGTATGTCTTATTTACAAGAGTTTTTATCATATCACTTCCAATCTTATTACTTTCTTCAAACCTAATATAATATAAATAAATGAAATATTAATGAATATAAGTGAATGAACATTAATTAATGAATAACAATAAAGAATATAAAGAATGATCCAAACCTTAAATAATTATTACTTTACCTGGATTCGAAGAATTTTGTTGTATCTTCAAATCTTTTTTGATAAGCCACCATATTACCTATCTCAATACATTCTGCCCATCCTTTAGATGCACTATAGAATTCCATGTCATCAGCTCGAATATCTTTATCATATAATGCTGCATGAATGGCTTCATTTAACATATCAGTGTTACGAAATAGGTATTCCGTGATTCCTCTTTTAAAATCACAATAGATATGATAGTAATAATTTAGCATAATTTATCAGTTAATTAGGATGGAAAGATTTTTTTTTTTTTGAAATAAAAAACGTACGTCCAAAGTCTGAATAGAGGTGTTTGACACACCATATGTTCATATGGATTAATCCCAGAATTATACCAACAATCCACCTTTGACAATTGAAAAAACAATTATTAATATGTTTGTTATTATATTTTGAAAATTCTCATGTCTGTCACTAACCATTGCTAATAAGGACAAGTGAGAATTTGGTTTTCTTTTCGATTTTGGCACAATTGATAAAGAGAATTGATCCAATAAAGAATCCGATAGTAGTATTGGTTCTCGCGGTGAACCGTTAGATTTACCAAAAACAAATTCACCTGCCTTTAATTTAATTTAAAATAATTATCTTTAAATTATTTTCTCTATTTGATTTTTTTTTAAAAAAAATAAGGAAACCTATGCTTTTACCGTTCTCACTCGATTAGTAAATTCTTCTTTCTTTTCTTGAATCATTAACTTAAATAAATCAGAAACTGATTGTGAATATTGCTTAACTTGTGATTTGGCACTTGGATTCATAATTGCCAATCCTATAATTAATAAAATTAATATAAAGGATTATAGTAATTATAGTATACAAATTATAAGAATATTCTGATATTTGAAATCCCTTACCAGCATAAACGTGCCATTTGTTCGAATAAATTCGTAATGCCATATAAACTTTGACATTTTCTATTCCACCAACGTATTGTGGGGTTTCCCACTAAAATGACAATAATTTTAATTTTGATAATTTTCATTAGATATTTATTATATATATATATTTTTTAATAAAAAGTATTTACAGGAAATCGTTTCTGAGTTTTCCATGCGGTTCCCATGCTAAATCACGCGAATTATATATAATATTTAAAAATTATTTACTGAAATAAATAATAAAAATCTTAAATAAAACAATAATTACATTTCATACCTTAAGAATGCTACATGAGTAACAGCTTGAGTATCAGCAGTGATGCGGTCATGTTCTTTATATGATAATTGCACAACTTGAGATTCTAAACAAGATAAAACACGCATAGCGATTCCAAATTTCTCTTGAGAAGCTCGATGTTTAATCATGACCTTTTAATAGATATATAATATTTCGTTTTGATAAATATCAAATAATTAATTATCACACACATAAATATCAAAAAATGAATAAAAAATTTACTAATGGTTGTCCTCGGGGATCCACGGTAGGTCCATGCAAAGAGTGACATGATACTATATGAACATCTTGGGGAAGATGTTTCTCGAAAGCCTTTATTTCGGGTTCTTTCACTGATGTCTAATTGAAGTAATGACCGATTTAGATTGATTTATAAGATTTTATCATAAAATGATAAAATTTTAAATATTACAAACCTGACCAGCTACAATTGCTCCAAGTTTAGTGGCTAATAGGATTATAATTTATAATGAATAAATTATTCTTAAGACACAATGATCTTTCTTTCCTTTTTTTTTTCTTTTCTTTTTTTTTTGAACTTACAAGGTCCATATTGTTCAACCACTCTATCAATATTTTCGGCTTCAACTGAATAAATAATAAAATCACTTCGCCTTGATACAGCATGTCCATCACGAAGAACATTTAAACCAGTATCTAAATGAATTTTTATTTGATAAAATTTTTCAAAGAAATAAAATATTGTTATGAAGATAATTTTATTAATTTAATCGAACCTTTTAATTGCTCTTTTAATTGTTCATGGCGTGAGGGTAAGTCACAAACGTTCACCCTAAATTCAGTAAAAAAAAAAACATTTAAAACAATCAATGCATTTCGACAAATGAATAAATATAGAAGATATTATTTAAACCTTTTCCATCCAGCTTTTGAAATTCTTTTGGCATACGCCAACCCCATCTCCCCCAAACCTATCAAGCCTATCTCCAAAGTCTCTTTTTCATCTACGGAAGGTGTCATAATAAAGATAAAGGTTGATTTTCGGCTTATTCAAATCTAAAATGTTTAAATTTATTTTTTGTACAATTGCACGTGCCATAATTACAAGTTCCAAATCTTGTTATTGCTAAAATAAAACGAGGCGCACAAAATTCATTATCGTAAATAAAAAAATAAAAATCAAATTAAATGTGCTTGCAATCAATGGAAAGTTTAAAACTTTTCACTTTCCCACACCCGCTATCAAATTTTTTGGAAATATCTATCAATCTTTAAAACTATCAATCTTTAAACTATCAATCTTTAAATTATATTACAGTACGCCGCGTGACAATGATGCAATGGTGACAATGCCACTTCTGACTCAGCCGGAGTTAAGCAAAATTCAAGCGACTGTTCTCAAGAACAACAACGCAACCCTCAAAAGGAGAGTACGCACTTGGAGTTTGTACTTTTGCTTAGCAAATGCCATATATTGGAGTGAGCCTGACAAGCAATAAGAAGAACATGAGAAAAACAATGTAAAGAAAGGAAAGAAAGGAATTTATGACCATTTTTGTGTATATATATCTGATGTCACCTAATCACCTAAACGTCACGAACCAGATTATCTGTAGCCAATTAAATTGCACAAATTATTTCAAATATTTTATACTTATACATCTTATATGTTTTTATGTTTTTTCTTTTTTTTTAAAAAAAAAATGGATTTTTTTTATGTCAAAGGTGTCTCACCCCTACTTTTAATGGATTCTTTTTGGGGTAAAGATATACAATTCAAAAATATGATATCATTTGTTATCATAATTAAAATTTAGGAAACGAAATTTGAATGGTAGACCGTGTTGCCAATCTTATCTGTATATTATTGTCGCTTATCGTACATCGTGATACAACTTTTTTTATTTTTCTTTGCACACTGGTGTGTCGAAATCCGAGAAAGAAGAAAAAAAAAAAAAAACTACCTAGGATAGAAAAGATCTTAATATGAAATTAACATTTGATTCTCACTTGATTTCAATGTAAGAATGTTTCTTGATTTTCGTGGCGCGTTTAATTGAAAGATTCTGAATAAAATCGACATCATTTTTCACTATATTTATTATATGTCACAGAGTACAAAATTTAAAATTTAATATCTTATTATTGTGGTACATGATTTTCTACTCATTAAGCTTTTGAAATTTTTTTTTTTTAATGAAACTTTTCGTTCACTTCTTTTTGGCGAAAACGTTTTCAAATTTCATTTTAATTGAATATTTATCGTGTATCCACCCTAGAAACTGATTATATGGATGATTTTAAACTGCACCATGGTGAAGTTTTATATGAAGAGAACGGGTTCATTAGTAAAATTCATCGAAAAGATAGTGAGTTGAACAGAAAACTTGTTGATACCTATACTGGTATGTGGAAGGACGATAAAAAAGATTTATCAAATGAAGGAGAAACCATTACAAAAAGACGCGAAAATGCCCAACTAATGACGAACGCGTTCTTTGATATTGTCACCGATTTTTATGAATATGGAAAGTATAATAGAATTTTATTCGATGATAATCATATCATTTTAACGAGCAAAGAATAATAAGATTTTTTGATAATAATATTTAAATAATAATATAGGATGGGGTGAATCTTTTCATTTTGCTCGTGCCTATAAGGGAGATACATTTGAACAATCCATCAAACGTCACGAGCAATATTTGGCTTTAAAATTAAGTTTAAATGAAAAACAGAAAATACTTGTAAGTTTATCATGATCTATCACAATACATTCTTGTTTTATTATAAAAATATTTAATTATTATCGATTTTTCTTAGGATGTTGGTTGTGGGGTCGGAGGCCCTCTTCGAGAAATCGTGAGAATGTCAGGTGCTCATGTCACCGGTATTAATAATAATAGTTATCAAGTTGAAAGATGCAAAATCTTTTCCAAAAAATTGGGTTTGGAGGACAAAACTGATTTTATCAAAGTAAATTTCTAAAAATGAATTTTAAATGATTTTCATAACCGAATAATTGAACGTAGTTATTTATATTAATTAAAATAGGGAGACTTTACAGCTATGCCACGCGAATTTGATAATAAATTTGACGCTATTTATGCGATCGAAGCTACAGTTCATTCTCCAAAACTTGAAACGGTTTATAGTGAAGTGTTTCGTTCTCTTAAACCGGGAGGTCTTTTTGCTACTTATGAATGGGTCACCACACAAAATTACGATGAAAACAATCCAGATCATAAACGCATCATTCATGGCATTGAGGTATGTGATAAATTTAAAATCATTGTTTCAATCAACTTTTATCACCATATATAATCGCTTATTTGGGAACTGATTCACGGTATAAATTTAGGGAAGAAGTGCATTTATAGAATTGCATTTATAAAGATTTGACCGTAAATGTTAAATGTTATGGTTACAATAATATATTGAGTTTTCACACTTAATTAATTTAGGAGGGTAATTCTATTCCTTCCTTGAGCTCATATAAACAAGCACTTGAAGCAGCCAAGAACGTTGGTTTTGAGATACTTGAATATGAGGATATGGCGGTTGTATCCGAATGTCACGAACCTTGGTACAACACATTGAAAGGAAAATTTTCTTTGAAAGGGTTCAGAATGACTCGTCTTGGCAGATGGTATTTATACGAAGAAAGAATTAAGGGATTTTTTTTTTTCTTGATAACTAAAATAAACTAAAATACATTTTATTTAAAGGACAACCTCTAAATTGGTGTATGGTCTTGAATGCCTTCGTATTGTTGCGCCTGGTTCATCTGACGTAGCAGCATTCCTTAATAGTACTGCTGACGCTTTAGTGGAAGCTGGAGAACAAGATATCTTTACTCCAATGTTCTTTATTTTACTTCGGAGACCAATTGATTCTAATTCTTCCAATAACAATTGATTTTTAACTCTTCCAATAACAATTGATGTTGTACCTAATTTATGTAATAATTTGTGTATCATATTGTTATGTAAAATCCTTTAGGTTTTAAAATTTAATCTATATTTAAGTCACGTTTACAAATTAATTTATTTTCTTTTACTATTAATAAAGTTTTAAATGAATTAGTATGCTTCGCAAAGCAAGGAACTTGACCTTTTAGAAAAATTATACTTAAGTGAAAAATATCATATGACACGGCGTATTCATAAAAATTCATTCATTTGTAACTATTTTATTACTTTTTTTTTTTTTTTTAAAAAAAAAAATTAATATTAAATTTAAAGACTTTTTTTATGTTAACGAAAATGATATCGTGAAAAAAAAATGATGCGAATGAATTATTAAAAAGATTGTAAATTTTTTATATAGAAAAATATTAAAAAAAAAATAATTTTTTTTTTTTTGATGTGAAATTGAAATTATATTCACACGTATGTATAAAATATAAAAAAAAAATAGATTAGAAATGATATTTATAATAAAAAAAATAATTCTAAAATAAGAATACATATAAATAAAGAAAAAAATGTGCATAGATATAAACTTAATGTTGTTTTCGGTTTACCAAAAATAAATATACTTAAATGAAAGTGTGAAAAATTAAAGACAAAAATATCTACAACGAAGAATTCATAAATAAAAAAGGATTGCAATAAATATTTATAAAGAAAAGTGTCAAGTAAAAAAAGTTAATTGATTTTGAAAATAAAAGGCAAAATTTTGCAAGCCTTAAAAATATAGAATTATCCTATGTATCCTTCATATTATCATCACTTATATTATTGATTTGATTATTATCTTGACCAACTCGTCCAACTCGGCTAACATCATTACAAATATTATTATTTTCGCAATTTTCTCCACTTCGATTTTCTTCGTTAACCTCGCCACTATCATTTTGAACTTCTGGATTATGTTCTTGTTGCATTAATCTTTGCCTATAATTATTATTATTATTGAAGTTACTATTGAGGTCGTTTCCTCTCGAGATATAATCTCTTTCATGTACGTTTTCGCCGTACACATTTTGATCATATCCATTTCTTCGCTCCACTTCGGATGCAGAGGCCTGACGTCTTTCAATTGGTAATGATTGATCCGTTTTACGGGTGAATTCATACATTCTTGATTGTTGTCTAGAATTATTAGCAAACTCATCACCAACAAAACGTGGAGTATAAGACCTCCCCGATGTAGAACGATATAGAGAAGAATTTCGACCGGGATTAATTGAATACGGTGGTTCTTCCGTACGTATATAAGACGTAGGACGTGATGTTGTTCGTTGGTGGGGTGTGATTACGGTAGAAGATGGCAAGGTATTGTTAAAAGTTTGGTGGTTGTACCTTTGCATACGTGGGAGTTCGTTACGGTCATAATACATTCGTCCATTTGAAGTGGAAGAATCATAATGAGGAAGTGGAGGAGGTGAGGGAGATGTGGTTGGAAGTGTCCCAGAATACGAACTATTATATGCACCACTTGAAAATCTTCGATTGCGTAGTTCTCGATAGTCTAAAGTACGTGACGCTGCCTGTTGTATATATTGTTGATCTAACATATTTTCTGGTAATATACCAGGTGAAGGAGGTCGAGAAATACGATTCGAACTCGAACGTGGTCTTTGTGTTTGATTGTAATAAGTTGGTGATGGTTGATCGGATTGTGGGATCGGTGATGTTCTTTGTGTTGACCCATCGGTATGTTCGGCACAATTTTGTAATTCTTGGAATTCAGATGGTGCAGATGACATTCTCTGTATAGGGGACATGGAACGTACTGAATGTGCAGGAGTTGGCATTTGCAACAGAGTTGGATCACCGGAATATTGAGCGTATCCTCGTCCATTAACTTCTGTCGACATTCTTTTTGAAGTTTTTTTCGGTGCAAGTGGACTTAATGCTAATATGCATTCAGTCAAACTTCTAATTTGTTCATCACTTGTCTTTAACAAAGCTTTCAATGACCGTTCCGAGGGTGGATTGTCATTTCCTACAAGATTACGCATTCTTGTATTAAGCGTAAGTGCCGATGATACAACCATGGCCATCGAACGTGATGGAGGTGGTGATGAATCATCCACAGGTCCGCCTAAGAATGTGAATAGTTTTTCAAAAGATTCAAAAGCATTTTGCAAATGTTTGTGATGTTGAGCGACTCCCGTTAATGGTTGTGATGCACTTGGGTTCGATAAGCTTGTACCCTCAAGTGAACTTCCAGGTGACGTTGCAGATGGAGAAACGGAAATGATTTTGTTTTTTCGTTGCTTTCTTTCAGATGTTAAACCTTTAAAATTTTTATAATATAAGATTTAAAATATTTTATTAAAGTTATAAAATTAAAAATAAATGGAAATATTTTATAACTATAATAATTACCATTTCCGAGAGATGAAACATGTTTTGGAACACGTAATTTTAATGAATCAGTTATGGATTCACTAGATATTATGCTATTATCATCTTGTATATCTATACTAGGATAAGAATCATCTGTTTGTGATCTTCGATTTATTCTGTTAGCTTTTTTAAGATCGACATCTACATCATATTCATCTACATATTTTTGGGCACGCCTTCGTCCAATTATCTGTTTGCTCCGTGTTCTACTTCCATTTTCTGAAGATTTTTCATTAACTTCAACATGATCAGCAACATCAGAATCATCTTCAACAATTTCCATGCTAGTGGAACGACCCCTTCTATCTACCGAAATTTCATTCTCATAATGTTCAGCCGAACTGTATCGATTAGCACGTGAGGAATTCTTATTACCTAATGTAGGTGCCAGGGGCATATGTGCAGTTGACATATCAAATTCAGAATCCGATGAATCCGGTGTAATTAAACGACTAGGTGATTTGATATTTGAAGTATTTATAGAAAGTGATGGATGACCTTTAAAACTACGCCGTTTTGAAGACAAATCATCATGATCAAAATCTTTATCTTCTAAACTATCAGATATTTCACCCGTATTTTCTGAATTAGAATCATTTTCTTCTAAAAGATATTTTAAATCTAATTCTTCAGCATTGTTAGATGAACCTTTTTTTAATAAATCTTTATTATTATTATTATTATTATTATTATTATTATTGTTATTATTATTATTATTCATAGCAGCGAGTTTTGATCTCCTTAGAGATGAAAGTGAATCATCAATTTTTTTTTTTTCATTTATGTCATTATCATTAACATCAGCTTCATCTACTTCAATTACATCATCAAAATTTTTTTCGTTAATTGTTGATTCAGTTCGTGAGAATCCATTGCTAATCCTTTTATTAGACTTTAGATTATTAACTATTTTATTGATATGTTCAGGTTCATTTGAAGATGGAATGTTTTCCAATTTACTATTTATTACTGATAAAGTTTGCGATTGCGATTCTTGAAGTTTGCTTATTTGGTCAAGAATCTATAGGAAATAATTAATAAATAATAATAATAATATAATAAATTAAATGTAGAAAAAAGAAATGTAAGAAATGATTTTAATTATATTAATTATTTTAAATGGTAACTAAATGATTTTAAATTATTATTTTAATTTTAATAATTTTAATTTTTAAATTATTTTTAATAATAATTTTAATTTTTAAATTATTTTTAATAATTTTAAATGATCTTAAAATAATAAAAAAAAAATGAAAAAACGAAAAAAATGAAAATAAAGAAAAATAAAAAGATAACCAATATTTAAATTAAAAATAATATTCTTGTAATTTAACTCGAAATATACACGATAATAACTACCTCACGATTTTTGTTCGATAACGACGCGATCCTATTCCTTGTGTTACGAAAGAAAGGATCCCCGTGTTCGCTTGGTGCAGAAGTCGTAGTCATATATTACTTTAGGTAGGTAAACCTAATAATCGTTAAAAACGTGTATATGTACGTATATATATATATATATATATATATGTATGTATGGAAATGGTAAAATTACCACATAAAATGAAAAAGAAAAGTTTGGAAATTTTGAAACTTGGAGTATAACCCAAGCCGTAAGAAAGGGTAAAAAATAATTTGGCTTGGAAAACACAGCCAAGCTTTTATCGTTCGTAAGTGATAAGAGAAATAACTCTTACTATATACCTACTATATATAGCTTATAAGAGAGGTTGGGGTGTAGACTATGGAGATGGCTTAGCAACTTAGACGATAAAAGTAACTGGTGGGTAACACAGTGAGAAAACGATAAAAGTTTTTTATTGTTTTTTTTTTTTTTTTTTTATTCTTAATTGTTCAAAGGAGAGAAAATTTTCTCTATAAAGCCGTTTTTTATTGTTTACCGTCCAAAAAATCCAAAGAAAGGAATGGATAAATAATTATTCGATGAAGGCAATTAAAGGAAGGAATCAAAAAAAAAAAAATCTTTATTAATTTTATTTAATCGAGTACAAAATTAGGAGTTTGTTACTTGAACCTACCAATTGTTAAACGTTGAGAAAACACAAATTAAAATTCCGGCAGTTCACCTGATATATTTGAAAATAAACAAATATGAAACATTTACTCAATGAAATCTTACATTTTAAGTCCCAAATTAAGTTAGGTCGGCTTTACTCCAGCCACACATAAACATATTAACATTCAATAATAAATAACAATCCATTTTTTTTTTGAATTTTATTTAATATTGAAGAAAAAAAAAAAAAGAACAATTGCATAAATTTTACACTGTTCGCACGTGCCAATCCTTCAAGCCAAACACAAAGAACTAAAAGAATTTCATTAAATAATCGGAATCCTTCGCTAACAATTACCCCTTTCTGTAATCTGCATGCACGCAAAACTTAATTTTAGTAATTCATAGATTTCTTTTTCATTGCATTCGATTAATTTAGAACTAGAAAAGGAACCGATATGGATAGAGAACTTTGTTACAAGATGCATTACAACTGAAGATTCATCAAAAGGATTGACAAATATAAGAAACACTAGAGATCACCACCAAAAGAAAATTAATGTTCTAACCTTTTTTCTAAAAAAATTCATTTTGATTACGCCTTATGTATTTATTTTACTAATTTATCATCATACAAAAAAATTTTCTCTAATACAACCCATAAAAGATCAAAAAAATATGATTGACCTTTGTCTGTGATTCAATTAATTGTTTTCATTTAATAATTCTTTCACAGGTTTCCAACGTGGTGGCTCATTTCTTAATAATTAAAAATAAATAAATAAATTAATTGATTGATTTTTAAAGAAAATTTATGAAAAAAAAAAAAGATTATAAATATCAACCCTTTTTCACTTTTCATGCATTTCCAAAAAATAGAAAAAGGTTTTATGAATTCAAGTGGATCGGATAAAAGACCATTACCGATGTCTTTATAATGAGAATAACATCGGTGAGGCCCTGGTATGGGTTTATAACCTGGACTTAATCTTTTATTAGTAATTAATCCAAACCGTGTAAGAGGGCCTTGATACTCTGGTACTTCGTATATTCGTTGACCTGAAACAGTTGAATCAGTTGAATCAGTTGAATCCATCAAGAGAGAAAAAAAAAATCATTTATAATCATTTTTATAGAAATTATGTCCGTTACACAAGCGTAAATCTCATATCACGCGTATTTTCTAAATTGTCTTAAGAAATTTTCACCCCACATGATATTTTGATTTTTTGAATTTGATTGGTCCATAATTCGGCGGGTGATCAGAAATTTTCACGTGTTGCTTTTACAGGATGATGAATATTCGGTGACGAATATGTAAATTGATATTCGAAGGGTGTGACATGAATTTAGTACGTGGGGATGAAATTTCTATGGCGATACTGGGTAAGATAGATGCCAAGTAAAGATACATGTGATACCCCTTGAGGTATCTAAAATTCTACTAACTAATTTTGAATCACAATACTTGCATTTATTGTAATTATTGCAGACTTTGACCCTTGTAATTTTTTCAATTTTTTAAGAGATTATTAAATACTCAAATTATAATAATAAAAAAATAAGAAAAATAATATATCTCTATATATCTATTTTTAATCATTTCACTAAATCAACTTTAATATCACCAAACATGATATCTTTAAATTCCAGGAATACGACATTTTCCCCATCAACAATGGAGAACAATATACTATTATTCTTTTTAGCGGATAAGTTAGATCCATTATCTTTAAATAATCTTTCTAAAGTTTTTATTGAGGGTGGTTTTTGTAACATGGCACTAAATATTATGAACATTAAAAGTGGGACAAAAAAAATAATAATAAATAATAAATAAATCTAAAAATCTAAAAAAAAAATGGAAATCTCAATGATGTTAAAATTTTCTTAAGTAACCTGGCAACGACAACGCGTAATAAAGGTTCACCAGGTGATTTTTTCTTAAATTTTTTATCCTGAGATTGATTATGTACATAAAAATCTATTTTATAATCTTCTTGATTATCTTCTTCATTAGCCATCAATCCTATATCAGAATCGTTAGATCTTTGGATAATTTGTAATTTTTTGAATACTTGTTCTTTCAAAAGTCAAATAAAATATATATATATATGAATTAATATAAATCAAGATGAATAAATAATAGACGCGTCACAGAGTGGACAAACCGTAAGTATCACATGATCCAGGTTCAACGATAGGGTTGATCTGCAGACGTGAAGAACGAGGAGGTTTTGAAAAGAGGTAATAACGGGAAATGTAGGTGAAAGGTTTTAATAACCAGAATTTAAAACTATTTGAACGCCATGAGAAATAGTTCTTTATTATGGCTTTATTTTTTTGGTTATAGGATTCTAATAATAATAAATAAAAAAAAGTTGAAATAATGATATTTTTCTAGAAACGATAAAAAAAATGATAATATTTTCTTATACATACCATTTGACATCGATAAAGAATTCGTTGGTGATAGTGATTGTGATGATGGTCTTATAACAGTAAATCCAATTCTTTTTAGATATGTATATACCTTAAACAAATATATATATATATATATATAAAAATATATTGATAAATATAAATTATTATAATTCATTTTTCTTTAACAAAATATAACACAAACCTGATATTTCTCAAGTGTTATAAATTCATCCCCAGTCAACATCAACATATAAGCTTGTTGAATTGAAATTGGGACATCCTGAAATTCAATTGATAACATTCCACGTTCCAATAAAAATAATGCTTCTTCTGGATATAACCAGATCTGTCCATTAATTGAATGACCCATATTATGAAGATGATTTCCGCGAGCAATTATAATTTTGATTTTGTTAATAGGAGATTTGTACCATATTCCTTTACATATTTTACGACTTATCATAAATGAGACAGATAACGTTGGTAAGATTATAATCTTTACGCTTTTTTTATTTTATTTTTAAATAGAACTACTTTTAAATAGGAAAAAGGATTAAACCTTGATGTACTTCTTTCTTCGCTTAGAGCATCTTTCAACGTTAACAATGACTCTTCAAATAATTCCTCTTGTTGATCTTGATTATCTTTTAATCCGCCACGTTTCAATGGTATTTTACCACTTTTTCTTCAATTTTTTTTTTTTTTATTTTTTTTTTATCAATTATTCGATAACGAATATGATAATATGATTACTTTTGAATTTTACATAAAATAGTTTTCTCAAAACCTTTTTTTCTTAAAAAATGTCAAAATATCATTAATTTCATTTTCAGGTTCTTCAATAATATCTTCAAGAATATCTTCTGGTTCTTCCATTTTTTCTAAAAAAAATGATCTAAAAAAAAACGACAATAACGACAACATGTATTCTATATATACTTAGTGTTGTAGCACAAAGAGATTTATGACCAGAGATAAAAAGCGTTTCTATTGGCTATTACTGTTGCTCATAGACACAACCACTACAAAACAAGGATTCGCCTATTTTTCTATTTTTTTTTTTTGAACAATGTCAACAAACTTCACTTACGAATCTGTATTATTAGACATTGAAGGAACTACGACACCAATTTCCTTTGTTCATGAAAAATTGGTGGATAAAATTTAATGTTGTATGATAAAAAAATGAATAATAAACATATGTGTTAAATGATAATCATAAATTTAATAAAATTTTAGTTTCCATATGTAAAAAATAATGTTGAAAAATTCTTGAATGAACTTTGGGAAGATAAAGAGTTGCAAGACAATATTCAACTATTACGAGATCAAGTAAAATTCATATTTGAATATCTCTTTTAAAATAATAATAATAATAATAATAATAATGAAAAGTTAACCATATTAATCCATAAATAGGCAATTAAAGATGTGAATGAGAAAATATTTCCTGAAGCTAATTTAATTCCAATGGATACTAGCAAGTAAATATTTGCATCATTCATTATATATTATTTTCATTCACATCTTTATTAAAAGTAATATATATATTATTTAAAGTATTTAAAGTAATACACATTATTTCAAAGTAATAAAGATGAAGTCAAAAATTCCATCATCCAAAATATTTCCTGGCAAATGAAATTAGATCGTAAGATTGGAGCCTTGAAATCCTTTCAAGGATACATGTGGAAATATGGATTTGATTCTGGTGAATTGAAAGGAATGTATGTTTTTTGAAAATTTAGAAATTTCTATTATTAATTTAAAGATGATTTTCAAATGTTTACTCTCTATTTTCTTATATGTAATTATTATAGGATATATCAAGATGTACTAGATGTATTTAAGAAATGGGTAGATTTAGGCATAAAAATTTATATCTATTCATCTGGTAGTGTTGCAGCACAAAAATTGATATTTCAAAATTCAGATAAAGGAGATTTATTAGAGGTAAATGAATATATTTTATAGAGTAACATGATTGGTTTGATTTTGTATAATTTTTTAATTTATATTATTTTGATATAAAATTTAGTATATTTCAGGTTATTTTGATACTACAATTGGTTTAAAACTTGAAAAACAGAGTTATGAAAATATTGCTAAACAACTAAAACTTGAACCAAATAAGATTTTGTTTCTTAGTGATAATGTTAAAGGTATTATTATTTATTATTATTTAGATTGATTATTAATTTTATATTTATATTTTAATTCTTTTTTTTTTTTGGTTTTACAGAAATAACTGCAGCAAAGTTAGCAGGATTCCAAGCTGCAATCATTGATAGACCTAATAATCCACCTTTATCTGAAAATGACAAGAATATACATTTACTTTTTACTGATTTTCACCAAGTTCTTTCACATTCCTCATTTATTAAAGATTAAAAAGACAAAATGTATTAAAAATGATAGATTTTCATTATAAGTAAACATTTAAAACATAGTACAAAGAGATAAAAAAAGCGTTTCTATTGGCTATTACTGTGCTCAACGGCACGGGAATTCGTCAGTATAATATATAATATACTTTATGACTCGTTCAATGTGATTGGATAAGCAAGGACGATTATCTTTCAAAAATAAAAATGCAGCCTGACTCTAATATCTGGATCGTTGTGTTCGCGTGTGGGAAAGTTTTATTTTAAACATAATATTTTTAAGTTTATAATTAAATTTCGCGTTTATTTTATTAAATTTCTCATTCATGCAATTTTTTTTTTTTTTGAAAAAAAAGTGTAAAAATAAGACATGCGTTTATGAAGAAAAGTGCCAAAAAAAAAAAAAAAAAAAAAAAAACTATTTAACAAAAATATATACAAATACAAAATGCACATATGAAAAAGATGAATTTTTTAAATGATGTCATTAATTAAAACTATAGAAAGATATCTGGAATAAATTAATTAAAGATTTTATATATATTCAATACATTACATTCATTATATATTTAATATACACTTACTATATATATATATATTTATTTATTTATTTTTTCCCCTAAATCTTTGTGATCGATTGAGGTTCAAAAACGTGAATTTCACTCAATTCATCATCAGAATCTTCTGTGAATGACGAATCATTGTCAGAAAATTCATTTCTAAAATAACGAATACTACATTAACAAAGGATATAATTTAATAAAATATTAATAAATTAATTAACAAGATAGACATAAATAAGTATAAATATTAATCTTTTATCACATAATGACTCACTTTTTCCATTCTTCCGAGTTATTTTCAACAGAAATTTTACTAAATTGATCAGTCAAAGATTTCAATCGAAGTTCCTAATAAATTATAAAATTAGAATTATTATTATTTTTATTAAAGAAATATTTTCTTTTTATTAACATACTTCTTCTATTCCCTTTTGTCTTTGTTGTAATTGAATGCTTTCTTCCATTGATATAATATTAATACGAGTTGGTCTTTTATATTTTTCATGTTTCGAGTTTTTCCTATTATTATCGTTATTATTATTTCTATTGTTGTTGTTATGATTATTGTTGTTTCTATTGTTGTTACTCTGGTTTTTATAATTATTATTATTGTTGTTGTTGTTGTTGTCGTTGTCGTTATTATTATTATTATTATTATTATTATTATTATTATTATTATTATTATTATTATTATTGTAGTCATAATTCATTTCGTCATTTTTTTCAATCGTCATCTTTCCAAATTGAGCATTCAATTTATTTATCGGTTTTGATATTGATGATGATTTTCTTCTTTCAATGATTTGTATAATTTGTCTATTACGTTCGATAACCCTTTTCCCTTTATCTGGCAATTTGGAAATCAATTCCCTAGAAAGGTGAGAGAGGTGATAGAGGCGAGAGAGGTGAGAGGGGTGAGGGGTGAGGGGTGAGAGAAAGGTGATCCACATTACATCTTTAAAATATTCTCTATTAAAAAGTATAAAGGTTAGATCAAAAGCTTACTCATTTTCAAGAAATTTTTTATTTTTTTCAAGTCGTTGTTCCAATTCTTTTATTGACATTTTTGATAATTCGTTCGATTCATCTCTAACAGGTGGAATAAATATATTTTTCTTTGTTGATGTTGAATTGAAAGATATAGTAGGTGGAGGTTCTTAAATAAATAAAAAATGAAAAGAAAAAAATGTAAGAAAGAAAAAATAATTAAAATAATTAATTAATAGTAAAACAATCAGTAAATAATTTACTTCTCAAAGTTTGAGACATCTTTAAGTTTAAATTAATCAAAGTGGTATGATGGTCCTTTTTATATAAACATTTCATTTAATCATCAGGTAAGCCACAAAATCCGCAGAAGCCACAATACGCCATAACCTCCTATTTTTCTGAATAAAAAAAAAATTGCTTAATTTTTAAATATTTCTGAATGGAAAAAATGTCTAAACAAAATAAACAAAATGCTGTAGATATTCAAATTTTAAAATTTAAACTTTCTCAACTGGAAAAAAAGGTTAATTCTTTTGCTCCATTGAATTATATTAAAAAAAAAAATGATAATGAATTTAAATTCTTTGATTTAATTAAATATTATAATAATATTTTTATAAATAGTTTCAAGAAACTGATGTATTGATTTTTGAATTATTAAGTCTAAAACCAAATGCAGTAAGTTTTTACATTTATCATTGGAGTTGAAATATTTATTATATCTATATTTTATATTTTATTAAATTTATTATAAATATTTATTAGACAATCTATCATCAAAAATCAGATACCAATATATTTTTCATGGAAAATAATAAACAGTTAATTAAAGATGATAAAAAAAGTGAAGTATTTATAAATTTTGTGTTAAATTTGATAATTATTCTTTTCTTTTCTTTTTTCTAATTACAAATAATTATCTTAAAAATTATTTTTTGTCAATAAAGAAAAACATGTCAAGTTAAAAAAAGAAATTGACAAAATTAAAGAGAAAATAAAAAAATTGGAAGCATCATAAATTATTTTATATTTATTTTAATACATTATTTCAGGTAAAGTTCACGTTGAATTGATTAACATTTACAGAACTTGTTTTTTACTTGATTATTTATTGAACGCAAATATAAATTTGATTTCCACTTCTGGAGAACATATTAATAACAAATTATTTACAAATTTCCAAATAAATAAAATAATTTCATTTTTTAAATTAAAAAAAAAATAAAACCATTTCATTTATTTTTTTACATATAAATCATAATATCTGAATTATTTTCATTATTTTCTTTTAAATATTCTATCTTTTGTAATTGATTTTCCCTTGTATCCAATACTTTAGTCATTGAAATTTTTGCATCCAAAAATTCATCTAATACTTCAACCAAATTTTTTAATATTTCAATCTTTTTTATATAAATGTTTACAAATAAAATAAAAAAAAAAAAAATTTAAATTTTTAATAAAATAAAATAAAAATAAAAATAAAAATAAAAATCTAATAATTACCTCATAAATATTTTCTTCAGAAGATCTTTTTCTAATATATTTTCCAGGATACAAAAAACATTTTGTAGCAATATATTCCACTTTCAACAATGTAATAAGTGTATTAAAGAAATGATCTTGTAACTTTAGAGTTGGTGATAATCCTTTTAATTTTGCTTGAAATTTTTGAAAAGATAATAATTATTATTAATTATTAATAAAAATATATAAAAAAAAAAAAAATGTAGAGATATATAAAATATTTGTATTTAATAATAAAGATACCAACAATTATCAATTTTCATCTCATCAATTTTTGGAAAACGACCTAAATAAACAAATTTATCTTTTTCTGAAAAATTTATCGAAGCCACAATGAATACTTCTGATACTTTATTTTCACAGAATAATGAGACTAACGAATTTACAAAATAAGTTTGTTTAGTGATTGGTGGTAATTCTTCAATTGCTATAAAACTAGCCTAAAAATTAATAATAAAATTAATAATAAATGAGATAATTCCACCAATTCAATTATATAAATAATATATCAAGGGAAAGAAAAAAAAATGCTTAACATGTTCAGTATTCATGATTTTTAATGTAATATCATTCTTCTTTAATTCTTCGTTAGAAGTATTATCATCATTATTATCTTCGAATATACAAGTATCATTATCAATAATAAAACTTTCTTCTACACCTGATACTACACATATTCCAGAATAATTTGTATCAGGATATCCAAGAATGACTTGTTGTTTTAATTTTACGCTTTTCGTAAGTGAGTAGTTTTGAGGTGCCATTATTTTTCATTCACGTTCAAAAAAAAAATATTATCCAATTATATTATTTAATATATTTAAATCTATTAAATCTATTTATATCTATTTTATATATTATGTTAATATATTGAATATATTGTGTAATGATTATCGAATGAACTTCCCAAATTCGATAAAAAAAAAGATTAAAATGACGTCAAGAACGTACAAGAGTGTAAAAATGATTACAAAAAAAAAAAGCTAATTGAACAATGTGATACACTCGGAATGATAGATATTAGCACAATGAATATCTATAAATACTCAATAATCCTTTTAATTTGTAATAAATCGATTCTCTTTTCCCAAATAAAATTTATCGATTTTTTAAATAAATCTTTTTTTTTCATTATGATGTTAATAAAAAACCTTATCTATCTCGTGGTCTTCCTTTCTTTATTCGTATATGCAGACTCAAATCCCGTTGAACCTTACTATGGAATCTCGGAGAATATTCTAGCTGAATATTTCCCTGTAAGACCAAGTTACGAAACTATCTCAAATTGTGGGAAAGAAGATTACATACTGGATATCAAATATATACACATAACTCCGGATCCCCCTCTCAAGGGTAAAGAAGTTGATATTGATGCTGCAGGTTATTTGAAAGAAACTGTAGATAAAGGAAGTTATATCGATATAGTTGTCAAGTATGGATTGGTTAAACTTCTACACAAGCGACTAGACCTTTGTGAGGAAATCCAAAAAGTTGGTAAACAATGTCCACTTGAACAAGGTGACCAAGTTTTACAACATACAGTTGAATTACCAAAAGAAATTCCTCCAGTAAGTACAATAACAAATTATTCTAATCGATCAAAAGAAATGATTAAACAATTTTTTTATATTTTTTTTTTCTCAATTTTATAAATTCTCTCAATTTTCTTCATTTCTCAGGGAAAATATATTGTTGATGCTAATGTTTATACACCTGACGATAGACCCATTGCTTGTCTAAAAGCTACAGTGGTTTTCAAACCATAATATTTTTTTACTGGTCATTTGTTAAGTTGAGGGGTGATATTTTTTTTTTTTTTTTTTATCCATTAAATAATATTCTTTGATTTATTATTGATTTAAATATTAATGAGATTTTAATTTTGTTTACATCAGTTCTTTTATTTCTTAAATATTTTCTTTTTGATTTTCCGTAAAGATTTAATAAGATTTATTTATTTTTTTTTTTATCCGATTTATCCGGATAATTATTAAATATTATTAAATATATATTAAAATACATTATCGTTGACTGTTTGTTGTAATTTCATATAATTTTGCACTAATTTTTGAGAATTGGATTTGCTTTTATTTTTTTTTTTTTTTGATCATTTCTGTCAAAACTTCAATAAAAATATATATATATATTTGATAAAAGAAAAAGTAATAATTGTTGTCAAAATTATAAATATTGATATTTATTTTATTCTACACAAAAATCTAAAAGATAACAATCTTGAATAATAAATTCTTCCTTCTCCTCAAAAAAAAAAATTTTTTTTAAGAGATGTCAGATTTGAGTTCATAATGAAATATTCAATCAAATCCTTAATAAGTACTTGATAGGACCATTCTTCCAGTTCCTTTGTGTTCAGATTCTATCAAAATTGAATAATACTGTAACGCGTTAACTTTCGTATTAACCTGTGAAGAGACGATCAACAAACCTTATGTTCATTCATTGACTTTATGGTGAAACAACGTGATCGCGTCATCAGCGGTTGCGTAAGCGCCTTGATTTATTGATATATTGTTCTTCAACATTCTTGAAATATCTGTACGGTCTCTAATCTTTACGTTCGCTGTTCGCCGTGTAAGTCTATTTTTATACACAAATACACTGGATATTGATTTTTTTCTTCATATAGTGTGGGTGTTGACTAATTTACCGTTTTTTTGTCTACTTTTTTTTAAAAAATAAAGCCTTAATTAAAGATTAAAGAGTAATTATAAATTTAAAAAATGTCAGGAGAAGGAAAAGGAAAAAATGTGTATGTATCTAGTTCATTCAAACTCCTATTATCTGTTATTTTCAATTTGAAATCTTTTATTAATTATATCTTTCTTCATCACCCGGGAACGATAATCTTTTGATCTCTGAAATTTTTTTATTTGGGATTTTCAATCTTTTTTTCAATCCCCTTTTCAATTTATGGAAATATTGGTTAATCTTTATATTTTGAAAGTGCAAACAACCCACCAGATCCAGATCCCGATCCAAATAATGATCCCGCAACAGCAATACTTCGCAAGAAACCTGCTCCCAATAAATTACTTGTTGATGATGCAACAAACGATGATAATTCTGTAATGTCTCTTTCCACAGCTACCATGGAAAAATTACAACTTTTCCGTGGAGACACTGTGTTAATAAAAGGGAAAAAAAGACGTGATACAGTATTGATCGTATTGGCCGATGATACGTGTGATGACACAAAAGTTAAAATTAATAAAGGTATAAAAGCGCCAAAAATCTATAAAAATACGTGAAATGAGTTTATTAGTTTTCCTTTCACAAATTATTAAAACTAATCTTTCTTTAAACTTTCTTTTTTTTTAAAAAAAAAAATTATTAAGTTGTACGAAATAACCTTCGCGTTCGTCTAGGTGACGTGGTCGCAATTCATCCATGTACTGAAATTAAATATGGAAAGCGAATCCACGTGTTACCAATAGATGATACAGTCGAAGGTGTAACAGGTAATCTATTTGAAGTATACCTAAAACCATATTTCCTGGAAGCATATCGACCTGTACGAAAGGGTGATTTGTTCTTGGTCAGAGGTGGTATGAGGGCTGTTGAATTTAAAGTTGTAGAAACAGATCCACCAGAATATTGTATCGTAAGTATAAATTTGAAGTTATCATTATATAATCACCATTTTACATAGTAAGTACCTGAATCGATTTAAACTGAAATTTTGTTAAATTTTAGGTTGCACAAGATACAGTTATACATTGTGAAGGTGAGCCCATCAAACGCGAAGACGAAGAGGCTAACCTAAATGATGTTGGTTACGATGATATTGGTGGATGTCGTAAACAAATGGCTCAAATTCGTGAACTTGTCGAACTTCCACTTCGACATCCTCAACTATTCAAGTCGATCGGTATCAAACCACCGCGTGGAATTCTTATGTATGGTCCTCCCGGTACCGGTAAAACCTTAATTGCACGTGCCGTGGCCAATGAAACTGGGGCGTTCTTCTTCTTGATTAACGGTCCCGAAATAATGTCAAAGATGGCTGGTGAATCTGAAAGTAATTTGAGAAAAGCATTTGAAGAGGCAGAAAAGAATAGTCCCGCCATCATTTTTATTGATGAAATTGATGCCATTGCTCCAAAGCGTGAAAAAGTGAGTTTCAAAATTATTATTTTTTTTTTTTGTGATAGATAAATCGAGTATAAAATTAATAATTTTTACATTATTACATTTTAGACAAATGGCGAAGTAGAACGTCGGGTTGTTTCTCAACTTCTTACTCTAATGGACGGCATGAAAGCACGATCGAATGTAGTTGTAATGGCCGCGACAAATCGTCCTAATAGTATTGATCCCGCTTTAAGACGTTTTGGTCGGTTCGATCGAGAAATTGATATCGGCATTCCCGATCCTACTGGTCGTCTAGAAATTATTCGTATTCATACTAAGAACATGAAATTAGATGATGACGTCGATTTGGAACAAGTATGTTATTATTATATTTTTTTTTTTCATTAAATTTTTTTTTTTGAGAATAATCATTAAATGTTTTTCTTCGGTAGATTGCTTCTGAAACTCATGGTTATGTTGGATCTGATATAGCATCACTTTGCTCTGAAGCTGCTATGCAACAAATTCGTGAGAAAATGGATCTTATTGATTTGGAAGACGAGACTATTGATGCTGAAGTTTTAGATTCACTGGCTGTTACTATGGACAATTTCAGAGTATATATTTTCAAATAATCTTTATATTTTAAATATAAAGTTTTTTTTTTTTTTTTTGATTTCGCATTTCTTAAATTCTTTTTACTTTTTATAGTATGCTTTGGGTGTATCAAATCCATCTGCTTTAAGAGAAACAGTTGTCGAAGTGCCAACTGTTACATGGAATGACATTGGAGGTCTTGAGAAAGTAAAACAAGAATTGAAAGAAACAGTGCAGTACCCAGTAGAACATCCAGAAAAATTCTTGAAATTCGGTATGTCTCCCTCAAAAGGTGTATTATTCTATGGTCCACCCGGGTGCGGTAAAACTTTACTGGCCAAGGCTATTGCCAATGAATGTCAAGCTAATTTCATCAGTATCAAGGTGAGTTATAATTTTCACGCAGTCTTTCTGAAGTAAATATTAAACCTTGTTGCATCATTAATAATAATTTAAAAATTCCTTAGGGTCCTGAGCTATTAACAATGTGGTTTGGTGAATCAGAGGCAAATGTACGGGATGTTTTCGATAAAGCACGAGCTGCAGCTCCATGTGTAATGTTCTTTGACGAATTAGATTCAATCGCAAAAGCGCGTGGTAACTCACTTGGTGATGGTGGCGGTGCTGGCGATCGTGTACTTAATCAAATCCTTACTGAGATGGATGGTATGAATGTGAAGAAGAATGTATTCGTTATTGGTGCTACAAATCGTCCGGATCAAATTGATCCCGCTTTACTTCGTCCGGGTCGTCTCGATCAATTGATATACATTCCCCTTCCTGACGAGGCTTCGAGACTTTCAATTTTGAAAGCCACCTTGCGAAAATCGCCTGTTGCAAACGATGTTGATCTAACATTTTTATCCAAGGCAACACATGGTTTCTCTGGTGCAGATTTGACGGAAATTTGTCAACGTGCCTGTAAATTAGCTATCAGAGAGAGTATTGACAAGGAAGTACTACGAGAACGAGAACTCAAAGAAAAAGAAGAAGCTGGTGAAGAAATTAGTACGGAAGATGATATGGATCTAGAAGACCCAGTTCCAGAAATCACACGGTACTATAATAATTGAGATTTTATAAATTTATTTATTTCCCCGCTACTTTATATATAACATATTTTTTCGTTTAAAACAGGGCTCACTTCGAAGAGGCTATGAAATTCGCTCGTCGCTCTGTATCCGACAACGATATTCGCAAATATGAATTGTTTGCTCAAAATTTACAATCAGCTCGTGGATTCGGACCTAATTTCAAATTCCCTGAAGGTGGTATTGGTGGTTCATCATCATCTGCACCAACTGGCGGAAGTGCTATGGAAGTTACTAATTCCGAATTTGGCCAAGATCCAGGTGATGATGACCTGTATGACTAGTTGATACCGTCGAAATTCAGCAATTACAACGGGCTACGGCATTTCGGCTAATTCCGTAATGTCATAATGCCGTAATCACCGTAATTTATTTATATGCCGTAATTTATAAAATAAAAAAAATTTTTAACAGAATAATTAGAATTTTCAACATTTGGAATAAAATCAATAAAATTCATTAATTTCCCAATTTAAAATAGATGAGTTAAAAATAAGCGGCTGCGCAACAATCAATCATTATGTAACACATAAAAATGTTTTGGCACTTTTTTTTAATAAAAAAATATTTTTACTATTAAAGTTATATTTTTTTTTTAATATTGTTATAAATAAAAATTTATTATTTTCAAGTTTAAAATTATAATTTTCATTATTTTACATGCAATTAACAATAAAAAAAAATATTTGTAATAAAATATTAAATAATCAAAAATTAAGAAATATATCATCAAAAAAAAAATTTTTTTTTTTCTCTCTTTCTCTTCCTCTCTATCTCTACAATAACAATAACAAATACATGTAAATACAGATATAATGAATAAAAAATTATTAATAAAAATATTGTTGTTGACTCCAAAATATAATGTACTTTAGTAATGTAATGTCAATTACTTCAGGTTTACCTCGGCTGCAGTATAAACTTGAACCAAATATTGAGCAATTTCCTTTTCCATATCTTGCTTCTTGGCCTCATTAATCAATATAGGAACATCTTGTATTTCAACTACATAATCCAAATTACCATAACCTCGAGATCCATCAAGTTCAGACTCTACACTTAATTTTGTTGTCGAATCTTTATATTATTGGATATGATAAACTGCTTAGGTCATAAAAATTGAAACGTACTCGCTTCATTTGTGTCGATGCGATTTTTAAATGCTGTTGCCTTTGTTTTGAGTTGACCTCCTTCTTCACTTATTTGCGGGCTTAATTCGGAAGATCTTTGATATCAAAATTGTTGCATATTATCGAGTTTGTCAAAATCATTATTATATATTTTGCTAGTCACTTCTTTAAGACTCCAAATACTTTTTTTCCTTTAATTTATACTTTAAGATCTAAAACACATTCTTTTGATTTGTTTGATCTTGTTTAGGTCAATAAATTTTTAAATGAATATTTGTTCTCAATTTTTTTTCTAAGTTGTTTGGCCATTTGAGTTCTTCATTACAAAAATAATAACTGAAGTAGTTCCCATACTTCACTGGAATGGAGTATTTGGCAATGATCACTATTTCACAAAAATAGGGTATCTGATAACGAGTGGCATTTTAACTGAAGTGTTATTAACCAGAGGTTTGTAGGAGGATATTGGATGGAATTAGTGTATTACGATTATCGAGTCAAAGAATACGATACTTGATGGCCTGACATCTTTTAATATATCAAAATCATCCTTGAGAACCAAGTCAAGTTATTGACTTTGGTTATATCAGTCCTAAACTCATCTGGATCCAATTCATCCTCAAAAAAGTGAATCCACATTTTATTATGGTATCTTGGATATTCGGACAAGAAAACTTTTTTTTTAACGTATATTCACTGCGCCAATATACGGAATAAAAAATAATAAAATCGCGAGGATAGCGTACATTGTTACATTTTCCCGGGGCTTCTTTATAATAGAAACGCTTTATACAATTGCCGGGAAATGTAGCAATTTTATTATTTTTATTCGAAGAAATATGTCTTCGGCTCTGATGTCAATTCCCGCTACAGTGGATTCAAATATACAAAAAACTTGAACGAGATATTTCAGCTTTAAAAAATGAATCAAATGCCGAAGTGGAGATTTGTGAAACGCTCTCAATTTTGGATTATGTTTTGTACTGATATTTATAATATCCGCATACATAATTAGGGCAAGTATCTACACAAATATTCAGTGAAATCGAAACTCTTTGGGTTGAATTTACCACCCTATTTAACGAAATAAGAATAGAGAGGGACGTTCCCCACAAAAATGAATAATGCCTTATCAGGAGAAATTGGACTCAGTTTTGTTACACTCGTCATCTTTTACTGGCATCAGAAATCACCTCATTAGATAAAATCGAGGCCTGGATTGAGAAAGTGAATCAAAAAAAAGAGATGATTCGTATTATTAGCAGTAGCAGTAGGAATGATAACAGAAATATAATTTTTGATAATAGAGATAGGGAAAGGAACTGTCGTTTCCTTACATTGTAAAGAGGCTTAGGATCCGACAGGCATCCTCCCTCTAAACTTCTATCCATATAGGTAGTTTATAATGTATCTATATAATGTTATTAAGCTGATTTACTTTTTTCACACGCAAAGATAAACATCGTGAAACGTAAATGACAAATATATTTGTATATATCTACGAATTTTTAATTTTTAATTTCAAGTGTATTGGCGCAGTGAATATATGTTAGCCAAAACTAGTATTTAGCAGATATGTCCAACGATAAAAATGTGGGTTCACTTTGACAGTGAACCGGATCCAGATGAGTTTACGGCTGATATAACCCAAGTCAGTAACTTTGCTCAGTTCAAGCGCATTCTCAAGGACGATTTCAATATATTAAAAATGTCAGACCATCAAGTATCGTATTCTTTAACTACAATGATCGTAATACACAATTCCACCCGATACCCCCCTACAATTTCTGGCTAACAACACTTCAGCTAAAATGCCACTTGTTGTCAGATACCCTATTTCAGATTCGAGCAGTAAGTATAAAGTATTTTTTTTTTTCTGCTTATATTAAATAACTGCACTAACCGTACTAATTTATTTGCAGTCATAATAAACTTCAGATTTTTGCGAAATAGTAATCATTGCCGAATACCCCATTCCAGTGGAGCATGGGAACTACTTCGAAACATGGGAACTACTTCGAAAAAGAGTCCGGGAAAGATTTGATTCGCTTTCGACGTCAGATATTATTTTTGTGATGAAGAACTCAAATGGCCATGACAACTCGGAAAAAAATCGAGGATGAATATTCATTTATGAATTTATTGATCCAAACAAGACCAAACGAATTAAAAGAACGTGTTTTAGATCTTAAAGTACAAATTAAAGGAAAAAAAGCATTCGGAGAATGGAGTCTTAAAGAAGTGGCTAGCGAAATATATAATAATGGTTTTGACAAACTTGCTAAATATGCGACAATTTGATATCAAAGATCTTCCCGAATTAAGCCCACCAATAAGTGATACAGAAGTCAAAAACTCATTGAACAACTTAAGGACAAGGCATTCGTACTTAATAACTGCGTAAACATTAATGAAACTTCAGTACGTGAATATATATCAATCTTTATGACAATTGCAGTTAAACATATTCGAGAACATAAAGATCTAACAACAACATTAAAGGTGAAGTCCGAACTTGATGGGTCCCGGAGTTATGGTAATTTGGACTATGAAGTTGATGTACAAGACGTTCCGATATTGATTAAAAAAGCAGGATATGGAAAAGGGAGTTGCCCAAAATTTGATACAAATATATACTGCAGCCGAACTAAAACTCGAAGTAATTAATATTAGATTATTTTCTTAAATTTTTTAACTTATGAAATTAACATCAAATCTTGTCAGAAATTGTTAGAGAAACGAAAACGTGACAAACAAGTGGATTCGCTCCCGGTGATGTTTGGTATAGTAACAATGGGACATGTTTGGAAATTTATCCGTTGGTCTGGTACATTACAACATCCAAAAGCTGAGGTATTGTTTGTGATTGCTTGGGTAATAATTATCAAGAAGCAAAAAATGTGGCATTATACATTGCACGTTTATTACAACACAAGCAGATAAATTAAAAAATGGTAATAATCAGGATGAAAAACGCGAAGAACCAGATAATAAACGACATAAGTATGGATAGATTTTGTTTAATATAATAATTTTACAATTTATAATAACTTCGAATGATATACGCTTACGGAGATGAATAATAATATATTTTACTAACTTTATGAATTTCTTATGTGTAATTAATGATATAAAGGTGACATTAATAATTTTTATAATTTAATAAATTATGAAGACACGAAATGTTAAGATGGTATCCAAAATAATAATAAACTTTTCGAATCTCCACCACAAATAGTAGACTTTTCTAATAATTTTTTATAACGAAAATAATAATGAATTTAACAATACTCGCAATGTAGAAGAAGAACTTAACAATACTCCAATGTAAATGAAGAACTTAATAATACTCTCAATATCGACAAAGAATAATTTAAAAATACTCATAATTTAGGTTACATGGGAGACGCAATATACGTATGCTCATATTCAATTTTGTCCCACAGTTGATGATCGTGTAACTAATGTGATGTGATAATAATAATAATGATAATAATATTAATTAAGTAAAAATAGTAATGCTAATTATTTATCAATTATATAGACAGCAATCAATGAATGGGCTGATCTATTTATTAAATATATTCACTTTCTGACATGAAATTTCCAAAGTTACTCTTATGGATTTATCATATTATTAATACAATTTAGGAATATGGAGCTATAAATAGATATACAACTGAGATATATGAAAGTTTGTATAAACTTATGTAAAAATTCTGTATCATCTTAGTAATAAAAAAGATATAGAGAAGCAAATAGTAGAAAATGTAAGTAAAAATAATCATTTATTAAATAATATTTTGAAACTTGATGACTTCTATATTTTAGATTTGATGCTAAGTAATTATTTTACAAACTTGTATGAAAAAAAACCAAAACTCTGGTGTCTACTCAAATTATTTGATTTTGACTATACATGTTTCCAAAATTGATTTTGGATTTTTGAAGTATTTCAACTTTTTGAAATTTATGCAGAATCTATTCTATATATGGAAGTAAAAAAAGTATCCAGTTATATATTTAATCAAAAAATAAATCTGGGTGATCAAAAAATTTCGGGTTTTAAGTAAATAATTTTGTCTTCTATAAAAAACTATTTCACCTTTTTTTTTCTAAAATTGTAATTTTGGAGCCTCAAAATAATTTTGTATACAAGTATAATTTTGATATTTTAAAATCTATTATTGATCAAAATAAAGACAATTCAAATTTTAATAAAAATATAGTAAAAGGTTTTGTCAATTTTAATAAGTATTTAAACTCATATCTTAATATGCTTAATATAACTTTTACAAAGTGTCAAATGAAAATATTTGAATCTGTTATATTGAAAAATGGTATTATTTTATATACAACAAATAAATTTTACAATCAAACATAGTTTAGTAATATTTCTGTATAAATAGTGAAGAACATTTCAAATATCTATCAAATAGTGAAACTTGTTATGTGTAAGTATATACTAATTACAATATAACTTTAAATAATTGTCATAATAAATATAGAAGGTAATTAAATATACTTTTTATTTATTTAGACATTATTAATAACAGAAATAATACTATCAAATAAATTACTATTATATCTTGTACTTGTACAATGGTATGATTTTAAATTATAAAAAACTCTATTTGTTTATATTTATCCTTTATTGAAATTAGTAGAATTATATTATTTTATAGAAATTAAAGTAATTGAAAATATAGTCTATATAATTTCACAATTTGATAGAACTAATAAATATTTTGTAAATAAATTTATATTTTAAGATATTATTTTATATTATATATTGTATTATAAAAAATCTGAATTTATATAATTATTTTTGTTAAAATTAGTAAAATGGTATAGTTTTCTGTTTTAAAAAACTAATAAATATTTTGTAAATAAATATTTATTTTAAATATACATAATTATAAATTATAAATTTATATATATATATTTTTTTTTAATTCCAATGGAGTTATGTTTTATTAAACAATTTATTTTGTAGTTGATAAAAATTAAACAAATTTATAAAAACTACAAATACATTTAATACAATTGGTTATGGCTAAATTAATAACACAATGGCCTAACATATCATTGCCCTAATGTTACCTAAAACAACTGAAGGTCATGCCTCCATCCATCTCTTTTTGACCAATCTGAGTAAAAAGTTATTGGAAAGAAATACTAACCCATCGAAGAGCTATAGATTAGGAAACTGTATACTAACATTTGTACAGAAAAAATTTATATAGAAGATTAATAGTAAATAAATATCTGTATTTACTAATATTAAAACTAATTTTTAGAGCAAGAAATTACATGAAACCCTATGCATCTTTTCAATTAATTTTTGAATAATGTCTGTCTTGATTTCCAAACTGTATACAGTTCAAATGTTCACTTATACCATGGACTATATATGTTTTCAAAATTGATTTTGGATTTTTGAGGTATTTTGACTTTTTGAGATTTATGCAAAATCTATTCTATATATGAAAGTAAAAAAA